CGAAAGGCGAGGACCCAGTTTCACCCGCTGGGGTCTGTTGACCAGGAAGTCCTTTATCCAAGAGCAGGTGGATGGCGGGAGCCCCAGGTTGGCTAACTTGGTGATCAAAATGTCTGGTATGTCACTAATTAGTGAGTGTTAGTTATGATAATTGAAAACCATCCATATAGTAGCTGCAGTTTAATATTCATATGTGATGGACAGACATGATAGTAGTTTGGCCTCATCAGTGGATTACTCCAGCTGTTAGTGTTTGTCCATGTTTCATATTTAACACTGAAAAGAATAAATCGCATTAAAAGAAGGCTCAGAAATAATCACTTCTTTCACACGCAGACTGGAAGGAAACATAAATCCCTGCAGATTAAGCTGCAGTTGATGTGTTTTCACTCATCTACATGTTTTTCTTTGACTTGTGTTACAGGAAGGTTTCCACAGTCCACCAACATCTGAAAACATCCGTTTGTTCAGTTTACAATGTTGGCGATTGACCTTGTTACAAATCTGTTTGTGTTTTCAAGGTCAAAGACAACAAATGCTTATAAAAGCAACCATACGAACAGCAAATTGAGCTTAAGGTGACACCATCATGGCGGAGCTTTGCCTGCATACCTTGTCACCGTATATCTTCTTGGAGTAACACGAGCTGATTACTTTCTTCTAAACTTTTTTGTGTGTTTTGTCTAAAACTGGTGCTTTGAACTGAGACAAAGTTGCGTTATGAAACCACTGACTGAAGGGTAAAAACCTCACCTTCCTGCCCTGTTGCTGTCTTCCATAAATTAGACAATGCAGAGTTTTATAGTCACTCGTCTCCTGTACGCTCTCTGCCTCGATGTTTATTACCCCGCCGGTATTGATATTAAAATGCAGGAGGGGCTTGATGCATTTTTCTGTCATCTCTCTTTCTGACTTTAATAATACTATAAAGCTTCCTGCTGTGGGTAGAGGGAGAATGCGGGTGTGGGGGTGGAGTGGGGTGAATAAATTATGAAAAAGAGGTTAATATATGGTATTGGTATACATTGCATCCTAACTAAGCCAGATCCCCTTTCGGGTTTTAAACATGCAGCCTTTTAAACGCAGGAGTCACGCAGGGTCAGACCCATCTCATTTCTCTGCTGCAGTCCCTCCCCCTTTCATGTGGACGCTCATCTGCCGAGATCTGCAAACATCTCAGTGAGTGTTCATGCAGCCTGTACCAAGGTTTTCAGTTTATGCAATAACTTCTACTTCTGTCAGTTCACTCAAATTAATGGCTGATGAATGAGCACAGATTATAAGTTTTTGTTTTGCTCCCAAAGACCCCGAACCAGCACACCCAGCACAACCAGCACAACCAGCCAACCAGAGTTACACCAGATGAAACTGTGGAATACACCCAGGTTGATGCGTTTGTCTTATTCGAATTCATTTGTGATTCCTTCCACATTAATAATGCAGACATGGGTTTTATATAATTTTAAGTAACTATTTTTAAATCCCTCCAATATAATCACTTTCACTGCTTCATGCTTGTTTAATCTCATAATTTAACTTTCAGGACTTAAAATTGTGAGTTCACGTCTCCGCATCATTTCATTACAACACAACCCCGACCTTCACTTCTGCTGATCTGGGCTCAGTTTCCCAAAAACATTGTTAAGCCTGGATCATCTTGTTCCCATTGTACTTCTTTACAATGACACCACCTTATAGATGATTTTGGGAAACGGGGCTCTGCTCCTGTTTTACCCCCACCCCTTCCCCTCCAGAGTTAGCATATAGCTTACAGGAAGTGCTTGGATAATGAAGTTGGAGAAGAGCCAACACTTGTCAGTCACACCGCTTTCACTCACTCAGCCAACACTGCTCCTTTCACCGAGCATCAAAGACGCAACACAGGCTTTCTGTGGAAATCTTTAGGTTGTGGATGCGGGCCTTCACACATTTTTACTGAGTAGTTTGTTATGATCAGTCATCTGCAGTAAAATAATGTGATTTTAATAGTTATCTTAAATAGAAATATCAAAATACAACACTGGAGTAAATGCATTTTATTTGGTTCTGGGTTTTATTTGCTGAAATTTAAAAAAATGGTTTCATTCAATAATGTTGGTCAAAATCAGTCTTGTATTTTAAATGCTATGCATTAGCTGCGTGTGCCCCATGAACGGTGAAAATGCGAACTAATTCAGAATGCCTATTTTAAATCTGAGAATGCAGAGAAAACAACAGGAGCTGCAGAGGAACTGTAATCTTATAGGAGCTGTTAATGTGTTTTTGCAGCTCTGGACTTCTGCTAATCACACATTAACATCATTTTTGCATCAGGAGGTTTCACCTGAATCCAGATTATTTTTTGCACTCTGGTTTGCAAGAGCAGCTTAAGCTTCAGGTCTCAGCTTTCATTCATCCTTATATCCATTTGCTTTCCACGCTTATCTAATGAAGTTCGTGAGGGTCGGGAGTCTATTCCAGCACGACGGGCAGCATTCAGACAGGGCAGCACCTTGGGCAGGTGCCAGTGCATCACAGGACTTATAATTGAAACTGGACAATTTAACTAAAAAGGGCTTTCAGTTAAAGGGAGATCCTGCTGAATTCTCCTGTTTGTGTTTCTTTATCTTGTCATAAATAAATAATATTAATAGTGTTTCAATTCAATCTTATCAGTGTGTCGTGAAAATAAAGCAAAATCCAAATGAAATCCTTCTTCGGGCAGGCTTGGCTTAAACTGTTGTAGTTATTCGAGTCAAATGAGCCTATTACCGCCTCGTCTTAGCAGGACAGGGTCAGGTTCAATCAGGGAATTGGAAAATATCATTTCTGACGGGAATAGATTTCGTTTGTTCAACCAATCTCTTCTACTAATTACCCAAATGGACAGGAGCTGTCAGGAGACAATAACTATTCCCTAATAGAATTTGCCCCCCAAGTGCAATTTAATTTTCTCCTCCGAGCTCTCTCCTAAGGTTTCCCCCTCGCTTTCTGCCTCTCTCCCTCTCTCTGTTCCTTTCCTGCTTTCGGACCAAATGCGTGGGGACACGGTGCCGCTGCTACCTGATGTTGTTTTGCGGGTGGACGGCGGAGACAGTGTGGACTGACTACTGCAGTTTCCCTGCGAGCTCTGGCTCACCCCGCTGAAACGAGCCTCGGCGGTATGGAGGAGGAGAAGAAGAAGGCGAGGAGGAGGAGGGAGAGCAGAGAGGAGACAGACTGCCAGGTAGGTCTGCGCGATGCGCTGGGCTGTAATTCGTCTTGGAAGTCGAGAATACATTTACGCACTTCTAAAGTGTAAGTGTTGCACGAAGGGAAGCCACTGGAACATAACGCATTTGTTCTGCTCGCAGTCTCTGCATGAATTTGATCGTACCCAGGCTGAATCTGTGCTCTGGACCGTGTTATCACCATTGCAAGGCAAATGTGCTCAGCTGACATCCACGTTGGTTTGTGTGACTAACATTCAAATAATAGATTTAAACGCACAAAAATAATAAACACTCAGATGAAGCTTTTTCTGTTGTGGCTCGTTATGAACCAGGCCTGCTGCAGGTTTTCATCCCACAAATGAATCGCGCTCCATGAAAGCCTGATCACATAAGATATTCTGACTCTCTGCTCTCACTAAGATGGATCTGTGAATCGCAGATTTGCGCTTTGGTGACAATGAACTCATCCACTGAAATATTAGATCTAATTAGAGGTGCTTGGGTCAACGGCGGTGGCAAAGGAGTCGCCCTCTGTTTGAGTTATTGTCCGAGAGCTGCCTCCTCTCAAGATTACATTCATTTAGATAAATAACCTCCTTCCAAATATGTATCATAAAAACAGAAAAATCAAAAACATCTTTACTGATTTGTGTTAAAAATGTTTACGAATTAAACTTCACTTGACTGCCTGGGCGAATTTAACAGAGCGGAAGCCGTTTGAGTCCCCTTGGATAATAACATTAAATATATCTTCTCTGTAATTTCACACTTAAATTACTATTATTTTTAACTGTTGTGTGCAGCATACATATATTTGTAAAATGCAAAACGATTACCCCCCAAATGCGGATTGTTTTGCACATCATTCAGTGCACTAATAGCCACGTTGCTTTGCCATCTCATTTAAAGATGAAAAACGCACCTCATCATTTACTGTCCCACTAAACCAGATGTGCGCGCTCGTATCTTCTCTCTCGCTGCATTTGCATCCGTCAATTATTCTAATTGTGTTGCCCTTTGCTGACAGTTTAAGAGCATTTTATCTGCATTGTTTTCTAGGACAGCTAAAGGGCCTCGATTCCAACAATCAGAGTAATTGAATAGTCGAATAAATTGAATGATCTTGAGGGGAAAAGTGTATAATGAAAATAAAGTGAGACCATATGATCCCCTCGCCACACGTGCGCGCTACTGATGGATGGATGGATGGATGGATGGACGGATAAAATTCCTGTAATATCCCAGCCTGCCTTTTAATCATCCTGATGTCTATTTTCATTTTACTAAATTATATCTGGAAACGCCACACATACAGGCGAAGGGGATTGTGGGTCCAAACACCATAGGGTGGCTATAAAATAAATAAATAAATAAATAATAAACAGAGATAGAATCAGTTTATGGGCAAAAAGGGGGAAATAGGCATAATATGAAGACAACTTAAATTTACTTTGCCAGAGCTTGTTCTCCCCTTTTTCTGATATTTGTAAAGCCAAATAAAATAGTCCGCTAGTTTTGATCTATTACTAGTGCAAAATATTGTGTCACATCACAGAAGATCTCAAACATGTGTTGGATATTAAAGGGTATAAATGCGTCGAATTGATACAACCCTAAAACCTCACCTAAAATAGCCAAGCGGTAAATAAACTAAAAAGAAATGCTTTCACTTATTGTTTGTTTTTTTAAATAAAGAACAATTACTGGTTTTGTTTTAGTTGAACATGTGGTGTGGTGTGTGTGTGTGTGTGTGTGTGTGTGTGTGTGTGTGTGTGTGTGTGTGTGTGTGTGAGAGAGAGAGCTGCAAACAATCACCTGGGACCCTCAGACGGACTTGGAGTTGATGGAAACAACCTGCACTGGTTCGGAGGCGGACCGCGGCGGCAAAGCGCCACTGTGTGCTTTTCTTTCCATGCTTGAAGTAAATTGGAAGCGAAGATTGAGTTCATCTAGCCTGAACTAGCGGCCCTCCGGAGGGAATATCTTATCCGGGAGAGCAGTCTCAGACGATGGGGTTTGAAATGAGCAGTGTCAGGAGGACTGCGCCCAGACTCCTAATCCTACCTGTCACTGAGAGAGCAGCTGCACGGGAGCTGCCACTGCCGGGGAAAGGGCTACAGGTGACGGTGCTGTGAATGTGACTCAGAAGTGTCCAATAATATTCCTTCTGTGGTGTGGCTTCATTTATTATTTTTTCCCTTTTTTTTGCACCCTTAGCTGTAGTAAGACCTCAGATTACAGGGATACTTTTCAGGTGTGATGGTGCCTACATGCGTGTTTTATAGGGCCAATCAATCCCGTCACCAAATAATAAAAATGAAGAAAAATGCGTTTACTTGCATTGAATTGACTGATGCCGCCATCCCACCTGCTGATATTCTATAAAAGTACATTTTTGCATCGCATTTGGTCACAGACGTGGGTGCTGAAGAAACAACACTGTAGTCTGGACGATCCGCAGGGAAATCTGCGTGGACAGCAGACACGCTTTCTTTTTTGTTGCTTCGTGGATCATTTCTAAAGTAAAATGACAGGTAGCTGAACTCTAATTTTCCTGGCAACACGGGTCCCTTCTCCTCCTCTCCTAAAGGAGCCCTGCTTGCCCGGGGACCCTCCGGAAGCCACTGCAGTGAGCTATTTATGGTCTCCAAGGGAGCGAGGCCCCGCCTCTCCAGAGACTTTCTCATATAGCATGTAAGACTCCCCTGCTCTTCTCCTTTCTCCTTCTTCCTTGTACACCTATTGAGGATGCTTTCCGCCTTCGGGGGGCCTCCTCTTCCTGCTCTCCTATTGGCTCCCGGTCAGCCTCTGCCGTGGTGACGTCAGGCCCCGCCGCCCCTGCAGCGCTGAATGGACCAAGCAGCCTGTCTGATCCACTCCAAAACAGCTCAACACGGCACAGCACAGCACGGACACCATCCCGGGAATAGGAAAATAACAGGAATAGAGGCTTGACGGGACAGCGACAGAGATCAGCCTCCAAATCGCACGAAGGCCCAACAACATCAGCATCATTGTTTGTTTTCTTCACGAGACAGGACGGGGGAGTGCGCCCACCGTTTTGCGGGTGTATGTGCGTGCGCTTGTCTCCCGGTTTGGATCACGATGATGCAAAGTGCGGCGGTCCTACCGACAGAGAGTCCTGTGAAGAGTTTACCGGAGATTCTCGGAGTGCCACTGCAGCGTAAGACATTTTTTTTCTCCTGTTTTTCCTCTTCTTCTGTCCACGATCAGTCTGGAAACGGGTTGGCGAGCGCAACCGGTGCTGCGGGGATTTGACTGTAGGGAGAGGGGCTTAGTTCCAGCAACCCGAGCGAGATTGGGGAGTCTTAGTTTGTCACGTACACCACTAATGTGCCATGCTTAGTCTTTATTTCACGGTGCAAAAGCGCCTCGTAGACGATTCTGCTTCACGGCCTCACAGCCACCCGCATGTCCAATTAATCTTCGCAGCCTCAGATAGCGAAGACGTATTCTGCGTTAGGCTGCGAGTAGAAGCGCAATCTGTGATATTTTTCACTCATCCTGGGTGAAAAATAATTTCTGGTGAAAGGCAACATTTATGATTCCCTAGTTTGGCCTCTAACTTCCCGCGTCAGGTTGCTGGGCTCACACGGAGCCTCCCAGCTGTTAATTTGTAAAAGAGTCTGCATGGTCAAGAGATCAGGCGCAGTTGTCATCACCCATCAGACAAACACACTGGCTTTGACTGACACTCATCACTGGGTCGAATTAAATAGCTTGAAACACTTTTATTTATTACAATTTAAGCACTGATAAAAGTGAAATTATTATTATTATTATTATTATTATTATTATTGAGGATAAGGGCAGATATTTAGTAGTTAATTGTCGATGTATCAATGTATTTTCTACCTTCCAGCATCAAAGGCGAGAAATGCCTTACATCTGTTCTCCTGTTAATCTGTGCCAAACCTTTTCTTTCTTTTTTACAATCTGTTCGCGCAATCAGGGTCTAAGTGCAACTGGATACATTTCTGTTCTGACCTAATTATTTAATATGCCAGTTAGTAACAATGTACAGATGGACCGGGTCTAATAGGGTAACGTCAAAAATAATCCACAACAGAACGGGATAACGTCGAGCGAAATTACTGGACTGCTCTGTTTTCAAAATACTCACGATGCACATTTAAAGACGCACATTCAAGGTTTGAAATCTGCTAAAAAATTTCTAAAACTATATAACAAAACTGAGGGTAATCTTTCAGGTTTTTCCACATTGCTCCCATCCAACTAAAAAACCGTAAACAACGGTGAAATATGACAAGAGTCGTCTAAGACTTCCAGCCTGTTCAGTGAAGTATTTAAACCTCACCAACTGGGGGGAAGCCTCTATATGGTGGGCTTATGCTCTTTAATTTTATAAATCGAGACAGATTAAAAGATTGGATAAAGATCCTGCCACTCAGCCCCCTGCAGAGCCAGCAGGCATCCTTGATTTAAACCTGGATTATTTCAGGAATAAAAGCAAAGCAGAATATATCTGAGCATTTTATATCACACACACAGTCCTCTGCTGACTCAGGGCAATTACACCCACACCTTAACCTGCAGGCTATTAGTCGTTGATATAGAGTGTTTACTTCACGTTTAATTAACACAAATCGCTTGACAACCGACGGCTGCCAGAGTGCACTTCTTCTTCCTCCTCCGCCTCCTTTCGTTTCTTCTTCTAAACAACACCCTGCTAAAAGAGTCTGAAAGTGTGTTTCACCCGCTGTGTGAAATGAGCAAAGCGATGAGACTGCACGTGGTGAAGAGTGGTGGCAACAGATAATAAGATACGAAGAAGACCTCCTGAATACACGAGGTTTACTCTCTCTCTCTCTCTCTCTCTCTCTCTCTCTCTCTCTCT